CTGGACTCATTTTCCTCCACTTCCAAAAGAAGAACACCCATATAAAGATTTTAAACAGTTTCACTGCTCTGCTGTAAGAGTTAACCCAGGTTAGCTTTTGTTGGTGTCACTTCCATGGAAAAACTTTTTGTTATCCAAGACTGGCTTGCTGCAAATTGCTCTGCGTGGGATTTCACCATCAGGCCTTTTGAAAACTTGAACTATGTTTCCACTGCATTTTTGATATCACAGCTGGGTATTGATTGTATTACCTAAGCTGGTATCTGCTTTGGCTGCTTACTTTTTCACTGTGGCTGTTTTAAGTCCTTTTTGAAGAAAGAAGAAATTTGGTGTTGACTGCCTGTCCTCTTCCTTTCTCTATATCTCATGACTCTTTGTGAGCAGCAGCACTCCAATCGTGATCTGATACTTTATTGCGTTAAAAGCAGAGGACCAACAAGGATTGCCTGGACATCAAGCTCAGCATCTTGCAATTCTTCTTCAGATATCTCCATCAAATACTGTCTTAAACTAGACTGCCAGAGTCCCATTGCTCCAGTACCTCGAGACATCCTGCCAACAGCCAAGCTCTTGCAGTTACCAAATGTAACAGGGTCAGACCCAGAGGGCAATGGCAGAGCTCAGGGAGTGAAATCCAGTGCAAGGAACTGGTTGCCATTGATGCTTTGACTGGGCTGCAGGAGAGACCACGTGCTAGATCAGAGAAACCAAACCCTTGGGTAAGTTACCCTGGGTAGGACACGCAACTTGAGCGCTGAGGACTAAGGGTCTGTACAGAAATGAAAAAATCAAGATAAAACAGTCATGCTCCCTGCAGCTTTTAATCAAAGTTTTTACCAAATATTGCCAGACCCCTGTAACTCGGCTCCAACATGCAGCTCAGGACAAGGGACCCTTCTTAGAGTCCCTGACTTTTGTCATACCCGTTTCTGATGATTTTTGGTCAGAATCATTAACAATCTGTAATTCCATATCCACCCCACTAATGATGTAGGAAGCCAGCATCTTTCCCCCATCTGTCCTTAGAGACACCATAGGAGCCAACCCTTCTTGTTCCCTCTGCCCTCTGAGGTTGAGAGAGCGCAGCCTACCAAACTTTATTCTCCATATCCATCTCCTCAAATCCCTTTTATCTACCTCTAAGTAGAAAGCCTCCTTTCTGGGCAGATTGGGATCCTGTTTGAACACTGGCTTAGCAGTGGCTGTACAGCAGAGCCCAAGGTGTGCTCCCAGGATCTGCAGGATGGCATTAATAACTGTTGTTACAAAGCCTTTGTCAGCAGGCAAGGGAAAATGTGTAGCCTCACCATATTAATTATATTCTGAGGGGCTGGAGAAGAGCAGACTGTGAACATCTGTGTGTAGCCAGAGACAGGCCAGTTGGTCTGATGCCACCAGAGACAGTCTACCGGGAACAGAAATGCATTTAGGTGCTGCAGCAGCATTGGCAGCCCCGTGGGGAATGGGGAAATGGAAAGGGAAATCACCAGACACAGTTATCTGCTTCTGACATGTGACGCTGCAAGTCAGCAAACTTGGGAGAAATCCTGAGGAAATAGCAAATAGCAATTATCACCTCATTTCTGGGCAGGCATGAACAAATTTCCTCTGAATAACAACCCTAGAAATCCTCTCTTTGCTGTGAGTTTCCCTTTCTATGAAAAGGGGCAGATTTATGACCGGGTATAAATTGCAGTGGGACTCTTGAGGGATCAGACAACTGTTTCTCCAGGGAGAGGAGTGAAGCAACAGTTCAGCTGCTTGTTCCGAGACTCTGCTCCAAGGTAAGTTCTTACTCCTTTCTCACCATTGACTGCAATAATTATTTTAAACTGTTTCCTTAAGCTTCAGCATAAATACAGCAGACAAAGGGTGGGCTGCAGTTGCTAAGCTCTAACATCTCCCCTCCAAGGAGAAAATGAGAGTTTATGCATGCACTGTATTTTGCAGCTCTATGTTAGGGAGGGCAAGGACAGAAGAAATGACTTGGGAAAGAAACTCAAGCGTAGAAAAGTAAAGATCTGGAGAATGTGAGAGACACTTAGATGCAGAAGAGACTGAGAGAAGCTGGGAAATTGTCACCACATGAGCTAATCCCTGGTCTATGAGAAAATAATAAAAACAGGTGGGGTCCAGGAAAAATTTCACTTTTGGTGATGCTCAGATCAAAACCTGGAAGAAGGAATGCTGTTCCCAAAGGAATCAAACTCCCCCACTACGAACTGGCCCTCCCAGAAGCTGAGCCCCAAGATCCCATTAGATCTGAAACCCTCAGCAGTGCTGGCAATGTGTCACCTGTCTGGAAAAGTCACCAAAACTTAGTGGGACGCTCTGAAGTGGTGGCAATGTTCCTGCTGTTCACCTGCTGCCCAAGCCAAGTGTTGGACCTGGCCAAGAATGCTTCAGGGAACTGATCAGCATGGGAAGCCTTGGGAATAGATGCACAAGGGGATGCCTGATACTGAAACGAGATGTCTAACTCTAGGAAAACAGATTCCACCTTGAGTTTTTTAATTATTCATCTTGGTGATTGAAATTTTTCCTGCCTGTCTTGGATATCTCTTTGAGAATGAATTATTCCCTAGGATCCAGCAAGGTCTTGGCTAGACAAGAGCCAACATCAGGCATCAGGTTGTGCCTGAATGCCCCTGTCTGCGCCACAGGAGTCGGACAAAGGTTGTTCAAGATTCACTGAAGATGCTGGGTGCAGAGTCCCCTGCTGATCTGAGCACGGCTGGTGCAGCCAGGCACTTCTTCTACAGCTGATCTGGCAACCTCACGTATTGAATGAATTACTGCCTGTCGATTACAGCATGCACCAAGCAGATGGGACTTGGGTTTGTACCTTCTATCATGTACGAGGTTAGGAAAGGGTGGATTCAAGTTCTCATTTTGGCCCACTGACAGAGTTCGGCTCTCAGCTGTAGGGGAGACTTGATTCAAGGTTATCAGAAATGCCATAAAGCACCTTGCAGAATTAAGTTTCAGTTGCCAAGTCACCTGGAAAATTCACATCAAACTGTTGAATAAGAGGGCTGGGGAGCTCATTGAGTACCATAACTCCACCCATGACCTTGCAAAAGACCTCTGGAAAAACACAAGGCCTGGCTCCACCCCTGGGCAAACTTACTCTAAACCCTGTTAGAGAAACCTGACAGCTCTGCCTTCCTGGAGATCATATATAAACCGCCCTAAGGTCACAGCCAGTTTCAGACTGTAGCAGAGGCATTTCAAAGTCCTCCACCACTTCGGGGTTGCCAGAAGGGTCCTGTGGATAAAAATATTTAAGTGCTGCTCTCTCACACGGTAGGTTGGTTTCTATGTATGTGAAATTATATTAGGTATAATTTAAGCTTTTAGGGGGTGGTAGAAAAGAAGGACTTCTCAGCCACTTTTCCGCTTGAGCTGGGGAGGATACTGTCATGCTCTGTCAAGTACTGCAAGAAGTCACTTCTTGTGGTTCACTCTTCTCAGTTTTCAGTTTGCTGATCACCCCGTTCCTGATCCAGCTATAGTAAAGAGATAACGGACCAGATGTCTTGGGTCAGAGCAAGGGAATCTCTAGCTCAGTATCCTGAATCCAATGGAAATTAATACATGAGGGTCAGCAAAAAGAATAAGAAAAGGGCAAATGAGCAAGGTGACTTTCCAAGCCTTCTGCAGTGCTCAGATCAGACATTTCCCCAGCCAAATCTGGGTTTTGTGTTTTAGAGGCCATGAATCATTTTAGCTGCTTGTCCTGCTTGCCGTATTTAAAATGCTAATTCGTTTAAAGCTGCTCCGTCAAATGTCTAGCAATGAAAATGGAAATATCACTGCTGTCCCAAAGCCTGCGGCACGTCTGAAAGAGCATGAAGCACCCTACATTGCTGCCAGCATCACAGGGAGTTTTTCAGCAGTTTTCTCCAAAAGGAAAGATCTTGTGACTGCTGAAAATTATGTCAACACCTGGGGAAGACAAAATAGGACCTATTTCTGTTCAACAAATTGAAATTCCTGCACCAGTGCCTTTTACTGTACAGGAAAAGCAACCAGCAAAGCTAAAGATGTGGATTGGCAGGAATCCTGTGCAACCGTGGGAAGAGCTGCCCCTACATATCTGCATTGCTACAGCAGCAGCCGACATGCTGCTGAGATGGAGATATCATCCCTCGTGCTTGCTGCTGCTGTCTGCTTGGCCTCTTCTCCATCTGTAAGTTCATTGGAACTGGACAACCAAAAAATGCAAGCTGAGCAGCAGGACACACATTTCCCAATGTCAGAAGTATGAGAGCCAGCAGCTCAAGCTGGACCACTTCAGGTTAAACATCTGACCTAACTTTAGGGAGATTAATCTTGCTGCAAGCACAGAGGAGTGATGGAAGAGCTGTGTGTCTATGTGAACTCGGATGGAACCAGAGACCTGTAAGAAGCACAGCATCACTGCTATCTCCTTCCAAATCCTGCGCAAGACTAAAGCCCAGTTCAGCATTGCAGGTGGCTGGGCAGAGTATGTGCCCAGCTGCAGGTCCTCTGCTGTGGGAAGGTCCTCAGAGCAGAAGGGAGCGTGATGGTATTCTGAAACAGGGGCTCCCAGCCCCTGGGTTGCTTCATGTTTTTCCTCCAGTGCCAATGCTAAAACTGAGCTCTTGGCTAACACAGATAGGCTGGAAGAAGTGGCCTTGTGCCAGCATCATGCCTCAGTTCCAAGAAAACTTTGCTTTATGAGCTGATTAGACGTGGGGTGGGTTTGGATCCCTCCTCAGATGGGCTAAATTCTCCCACTGCTGTGTCCTCTAGGCACCTAAAACCTATTTTAGATTTCACCCTTATTCCCCTGTTGATTTTTCCGTAGCCGGGAGGACAGAAGTTGTTCCCTCCTTGGTCTCTCGTAGTCCCCTCCTCTGCCAGCCAAGTCCCATAAGCACAAACATTACTTCAGGCCATGATGAACTTTCTCCAGGTTGAGTGTCTCTCTGCATTTGCCCTCCAGGTGGTCAAGAGCCCTGCACTAGAAATCCTCCCCACGATGCTGCTGCTGCTGCTGCTGCAGGTCTTGGCAAGCTGCCTCTGGCTGGGATGCAGTGAGGTGGTGACATCCTTCGAAAGTTCATGCCCTCAGTTCTTCTTCCGGGAAACCCCCCCAAATGAAGCCCTGGAGCCGGAAAGCCCAGCCTGGATCTGCCAACGTTACAAGAACCAGTATTATTTTGCCACCCTCTACGACAGGAAGAGGCGTATTCCCGTATACTCTGCTTACCTCTACGAGCCTGGACCTGGCAAGAGACCTAATACGTGGCTGGTTGAGCCCCAGGTGAGTGTCCTCTCTTACAGCGCATCACCCTCCAGTCATTAAAAGATGAACTGCAGCATTTAACCAAACATTTCTTTTTCCTCCCACCCCTACACGCATGCAAATGGCCCCACTGGTTGGGATTCATCTCATCTAACTTCAAAAACTTTCACCACACGATTCCTCTGATGCGTTTGAGACATAAGCAGCTTACAGGAACATTAAGTCAATTTATACTACATTACATTTCATTACATTGCATTAATTTACATTACATTATGCCAAATGACCCCTCTGCCTGTCTCATGCTGTGGTGGGGGACCAAACGATGGGGAAAAGATATCCAACAGCAGCTAAATTTGAGGGACTAACTGTGCTGGGCTCTGATCTCCACCCTGAGCTGTTTTGCATTCCTGACATAGCTTATTTGCTGCCAGTGAGGAGTCAATCTGGCTTTGTAAGTGGCAGGAGAGAAGTGCAGAGAAACTCAGAAATGGGTGAGACGACCCACTGAAAAAGTCCAGGCACAGGCACTCAGCGATGAGAGGGTTAGGTTAGCACTGCGTGAATTTACGGAGTGATATTTCAGGCAGTGAGAAGTGAGTAGGATCAGTATTGGTCCAGTCAGAAGTCCACGATCTCCGTCCAGTTGCAGGTGCCCCTTACCGCCATTGCCTCAGGCTTGGTTCAGAAGGATCCACCAGACACACAGATCTCTGCAAACTACAGAGCCCTCCCAAACGTCCTGCTGACAAACTTCAGACCTTCGGTAAAAAAGGCAAAGCAAACTATGGAACAGAAGGAGAGGAAATTCAGGTCATTGCTAGGGACACAGTAGCAGTAGGAAATTCGGGTGAAAGTGAGCCATAGAAGGCCATATGCCCAGAGCCAGAGGAAGGCTAAATACGTTTCCCTGACTATGAAAAGAAAGGTGTTATGCAAAAAAAAAAAGGCATTTGCATTTGTTACTCATAGGAACTCGGAAATTGCACCGCTGCAGCCTCCGCATTTAGAGGGATAAAACCTTCTCTCTTTTCCTCCTGGACCGTGGAGCGGGGCCATCTGCAAAATCTGTGGTTTTGTTAACTTTCTTCAGAGGTCTTCTTGGATTATTTAAGTTCCCCTGGTCTCTTTGGGGTTTATGAACTGCTTCAAGAGGCTGATCATTTCTAACTTATTTTCAGTGATGCTGCAGAAGGAACACATGCTCCCTGGCACAAATCAGCTCTAAGAGATGTTATTAGCACTGCAGTAGCAAAGCCCACTTGCATCGTGGTATTTTTGTTTACTGAGCAAAAAGCTTCATCCTTGCAACAAACTGTAGCCCTCCCAGGGAAACTTCACCTCTAGGATTCATTTCCCAATGCATCTCCCTGTCTATGGGGTTAGAGGAGGCAAACATTGGTGTTTCAGGAGTGTGGTACACCTGCAGCAAACACACATACTTCTTCCCAAGTGAGGGCCAAAGCAGGAGAAAAGCAGAAGGGCCTGAGTCCTCCTCATCTCCTCCTGCGAGTCCTGTGGGATCCACGGCTCTTCTGCTCATCCTCTTCCCATCCCATCCACCTTCAAGGAATCTCTAAGACATTCAGCCTTCAAAGAGGATATCTGTGTGCTAGTAAAACACTTGGGTGTTGGCAGGTTGGTTTAAAAAAAGGCATGAAATCCTTTCATAAAGACTGAGAGAACTCTTGTGGAATTGAGGCTGAAGGGAGCAAAGGCCAGGGCTGATGACAGCGTGATTAGATGCAGGTGATGAAGGTTGGATGTGATTAATGGAGGTGGGAGGAACTGGGAAGAGCCCTGGGCAGATGTGGGATGTGGAGACGGGAGGAAAGGGAACTAGATGTGGCAGGGCAGATCTCTCACCAAAGTCACCTTTCAAACCTGGGAGTGGAAAATGCTCATCGTCTCATGCGTCCACCCACACTCCCACTGCAGGCTGCAGGCTGGATTTCAAAGGTCACAAGTCAAATCGAGAGCAGTCAAATTCTGAGCTTTATTCTTTTTTTTTAAAATCTCTTGTGCTCGTCGGGGAGGGGCAGCTTTATAATTTCTCTCTGATTCATGCATTTTCATACACTCAGATGACAAAAAAATGAGTGCTCAGCACTCAGAGACTTCTGCTTGAGGGAAACCTGCTCCATTGCTACCATACCCAATACTAATACCTTTTCCTTTTTACCTGTCAAGCTGATGGGTTCAACATATCCCAAAACCATGGAAAAAGAGCGGACCCTGTTAAACTATTACAATGTCAGCTTAGAGGAAATCAGCAAGACACAGGCTATCCTCCAAGACTACAAGAACCTGACGGGTTTGAACCGTGGCCATTTGAACCCCAACGGCCATCACGCCGACTCCAGCAGCAGGACGGCTACCTTCACCCTCACCAACATAGTGCCCCAGAATGTGAAACTCAACGGCGGCGCCTGGAACAACTATGAGCAGCAAACGATGATGAAAAACACCCAGGGCTGTAAAACCACCTACGTCGTCGTGGGCGCCGTGCCTGGGAACAACTACATTGCCAAGGGGAGAGTTAATAAACCCAGCCACATCTGGTCAAGTGCCTGCTGCGAGGTGGATGCCAACCACAGGAAGGCTTGGGCAGTCATTGCCGAGAACGACAAGAACGAGGTCCAGCTCCTCACGCTGGGGGAGCTGGAGGATGTGTTGACCGAGCTGTACGGGAGGGACCAGGTTTATTTGTTTGACAGTGACTGTCCCCGGGAATAAGCCCCATTTCACATCCCAGCTGTAAAAGTCTTGGGAGCTTTCACCACATGCCCTCTGCAGTGTCTATCCTGCTTCCTTCTCTAGTGGTTTTCCAGCTCTGTCTCTCAGAGCATCTCCTCCTCTGATAAAAGAAAGAGGTCAGCAGAGCCTTCAGCTGCTTTGCTTTGCTGCCCACTCGTGGAGGGTTCTCTCAGGAAGGAGTCCTTGACCTGGACGCTCTGAAGGGGCAGGCTGGATAATAGCCCATGGGCAAGGAAATCAGAGCTTTTCATTGAGTCTAGAAGGGCTTTGTCTTTTTTTTCCTTTTTCTCCATGACCATATACAGATCTTAGTTCCTTCCTCTCCTGATTAGACATCACTGATAGTGTGCTGCTGACTTGTCCCTCACTTCCTTAGGAAGGGTGTGGGACTGGGGTTGCTCAGGTTGCCCAGGGAGGTTGTGGAGCCTCCATCTCTGGAGATACTCAAAAACCGACTGGACACAGTCCTGGACAACATGCTCAAGCTGATCTTGCTTGGATCTCAAAAGGTCCCTCCCAGTCTCAACGGTTCAATGATTCTGTGGTTCATCCTGGTACAAGGAAAGCAAAGACCCCAAGGATTGCAGAAAGTCTGTAAAGGTTATCCTACATATCCAGCATAACCAATGACCACAGCAAAGGATAAAGGGAGAGAGGAAGGTGGAAAGCAGGCAGACAACTCAGCATAGGAGGAACATCCAAGCTCTCTTGAAGTCTGTAGATAGGTAAAATAAGAAGGAAGGAAATAACCTACATGTATCACTAGGTTCCCTATCCCTGAACTTACGTGAAGAACTTATATGAAGACTGTACTTGTGTAAATTTACTAGCAGGTTTCTGTTTGCTTGCTTTTGGACCATGCACCTTGAGAGCAGGAGCTGAGCTATCAGACAGCCAGGCTCAGGGATCAGATATACAGCAGGCTTTGACCAGTCAAAGATAAATTTCTGTGATGCACTGGTTGGGTAATTTCATTCTCTGCTCTGCTTCTGAACCTTTTCTGCAGATTTATGTATAACTGATTTTGTGAAATGTATTCAATGGGTGTAAAAGATCAATGTATGCCATTAATTTAGTTCCGGAGTAGTTTACAATATAAGTTATTTTCTCCACTGCTGGATCATAGGGTCACCTTATATATAAACCAGAAGTTGCTTCCCACTGAAATTTCCACTATTAATAATGCCCTGGTACCTACATCATCCTTGCAGGAGGTAAGCTGCCCAAATCCAATCTGAAGATGCCATAACATCTACAAAAATGTCACCATCAAACTCCAGTTACTTTTCCTACCAATGGGCCTGAACAAAGTAGATTGTGGTGCAAATGGCTCAGACAAACTGTCTCATTTCAGATATACCAGCTTGATCCCGAACTTGACAGCTCAGGAGTTGTTCATTAGCCTGCTGGTCTCATCACTCACCCAGGACAAACCTCTGTGGTGGCTGCACAGGAACACGGGGTGGGGTTCATGTGCAGAGTTGGACACCTACGTGCAGGCATCTCTGTGTGTGCTGGGTGTCTGAGCTCTGACTGCAGCCAGCAGAGATCCAGACGTGGCTCAGCTGCATAAACATAGGCAGCCTGGGCCACCTGAGATGCCCTGAGGTAGGCAAGACGTCCAGTGGGTCTGGCTGATCTGCTGCAGGATCCTGGGGACACGTGCACACACCTGGGCCAGCAGCCAGAGCCCGGGCAAGTTCCCTGAAGGCATCTCCAGTGGCTCTGGACACCTGAGCACAGGCAACCAGGCCCCATCACAGACCACTGGGCAGTGTCTGGAGAGTGCCCAGTAGCATCATGGACTGCTGCTCCTGTCATCTCCAGCTGCCATGGTGAGAGCAGCAATAGCACTCGTTTGTGCCAGCTGTGTTGCTCAGTGAGGTAGGGGAATATTTTGGTTTTTAGGAGGACAAGGTAGGAACATCACTCACATCCCCCTTTGCAGGAGAGCCCCTGTGGTCCCAGGTCCCCTCCCTGAACAGATTTTTGCTCCTCCGTTCAAATTCTGACACAGACCACTGATGGGCTGAAACCATCAGTGCTATTTCAGATTGAGGGACCTGTGCAGACACCTCTGGGCTTGCTCATGGAGCTTCCTCTGACTCGCTCATCCACCTGCTCATGCCCACTGGGGCTTGAAGCCACACTCATGCCCATCCTGTGCCCCACCGCTGCTGCTTTCCAGGCTCTGCTGGAATCTCCCGCTCCCTGATCACCCCTGTGAGTCACCCCTCTGCCAGCTCCCCAGGCTCTCCCCAGAACCTTTTCTCCTGGTAGTACCCAGAAATGCCCTCCCCTCCACAGCAAGCATGTGAAATACGTGGGAAGCAAAAAAAAAAACAAAGCCCCCAAAACAATCAGCTTGGAGGCTTGCTTGCTGCAGATATCATGGGTGCTTCACACAGCACCCCGGCTTGGAGCTGAGCAGAGGGCTGCCCCAGCCCCACGGTGCCCAGCTCCAGGAGCATCCTCCCAGACAGCTTTCATATGTGATTTACTCAGGTTTCTGTTGCTCCTGGCTGTGAACAGCGGACAGGGACACAGCCCTTTGGTGAGCCCGTAGCCAGTTCGTGCATCGTGTGTGTGCCCCCAGTCCCCATCTCCTCTGTCTGCTGGGAAGATACAGCTGCACTGAGACAGGAAGGTAAGTCTGCAGTTTGCTCTGTGTCCGTCTGTCTTTGGGGAGAGCTCTTGGCAGGTCGCTGGGATTTTAGACACAAAGGAAAAATCATTTTGCCCAGGAGCTGCGAGGGGATGCTGGGAGCTAAACCCCATTAGCCCCGTTGCTCGTTGCGTCACCCACTGGGGTGGTTCGAACGGGCTTGCAGCTCGCAGAGGACCCTGACACTGTCTGTGCTCACTTCGCTGCAAGGGGCTGGGTCGTGCAGTTTGCTTAGTTCTTTTCCGAAAACACTGATAGTTCAAACTCCTTGAACTGAGCAACATGTTTTCACATCCTGTCCTAAAAAAGAAGGAAATGGGAAAAGCAAAGGAGTGGCATCGTCTGGCCTCTGCTTGAGAAAGCAACTGGGCAAAACTCCTTTGATGCATCCAAATTTTGAGTAGCTACAACATTTCCGAAGAGTAAATACAATATGCTTATTTGTAAAGCTCACCAGGAGCATCTCTGGCTGCAACAGAGGGAAGGCAGCCTGGGAGCATCTTACTGGGGCTTTGCCATCTCCTGGGCAAAGGAGATACCATCTCCATCTGCTGAGTCAGACACACTGAAGCTACTAGATTTGCCTATCTCTTTCATCTAGGCAGCAAACGTGCTGTGCGTGGTTCTGCATGAAGCATGTGCTGCTTGTGGCTCTACCGAGCTGATCTCCGAGCTGGTTGTCCAGGGGGAGGGCACATCTCTTCATCTCACCCTGCAGGTACGGGCTTTTTCCTGGGATATGTTTGCTCTCTAAGTATCACGCTGACTTCAGTAAAGTACTTGTAAATTTGCACTCGGTTTCTGACAAATTACACAACCGCATCTCTTTCACAAGTTAGGTTGCCTGAATCTAATGTCTCTTTGAGGTACCTGCTCGCATTTTCTTAGCTGAGTAAACAAAGACTCATTTTAACAAATTGCTGCATGCATAAGTGGTAAATAGTAGTTTACTCCTGGGACTTTCAGATCTTACTCTGAATGTTCAGAGGACCGGACCAGGATTGAGACTGGTTGACAAAGTCACCTCAGTGCCACCGTTTCCAATCCATAAAACAAAGACAGAATTATCTTTATTTTACTGTGCACTGTGACTGAAGGCTAAAAAGGAGAATGTAAAAACATGATGTTTTATTATTTTCCTCTTACACTGCCCTAAATCAGAACTTTATCGAGGACTGAGGGAGTTTGAACAGCATGAATGAAATGAGGCTCAAAGCCGTAGAGGGTGTTTCCTGAGTCTCACAGGAGGTCCTGCCAGGAATTTTCTGTCTTCAGTTAAATGTGGATCTATAAAAAGGACAAAAAAAAAAAACATTCCACTAACATAACTGCTTTATCTTGCGTGGTGGTGCAGCCCCCCCTCAGACCGGGTGATCCCAGAACCAGCCAACACTGTATTCTTGCTTGCACTGCAGGAGTAGCTGGCTGGTGTGCACTGAATTGGGACCACTTGGCTCTTGCCTGTCTTTGTACAAGAGCAGTGAGTTGGCCCCATCAGGCGCTCCCTGACCGCACCTGGATCTCCTGCTGCCTGGAGTCGCACCCGCCTGGCAAATGTCAGAGCTGTACCTTGTGGGTGGTTCTGGGATTGTCCGGTTGCTGTCTGCATCATGTGGGTCGTGACCAGGATGGAAGATCACTGATGCCTGGAGTCAATCGCCTTGAGGCCCTAGGAACACCGGTACCAAGGACGACCCTTCGAGCTCTTCCGGTCCGCAGCGGGCTGCGCCCAGTGACTCCCTCTGACTGGGACGCCTCTCAGAGTAACCCACGAGCTATTTGGGCTGAGCTCCTCGAGACTCAGCCTTTGCCCGTTGCGAAATCGTTTGACTTGAAGTGAGTATTTCACTGAACTCAAGGGGAATTCTTATGCACGTGTGCGTGTGAGAATCGATTCAAAACATACTATACTTTTATTGTTTTTGTAATAACAAATTGTTTCTAATCACTCTGCAAATGCTAAGTTAACCAGTGATTAATAGCTGCTAAATCCCTGTGATTCTCTCTCTCTCTCTTCAAACTGTGAACACGCCCTGAACTGCTGCTAAACATATTCCTTAGACATAAACTGTTGTGGTCTGAGGCCGGTTCTGGGTCCAGCTGCACCCAGGCTCCTCTCCGAGAAGGAGTTTAGAGAGCAAGGGGGTCCAGCCCGAACCTGGTGACTCCACGGGAGGGTCTCCCTACCCCCTCACACTTTTCTTCCACTCTGTATAAGTCATTTTGTGCTCAAAACCCCCTTTGATTTTGTATTCCATTCGAGAAGTGATAGAGTGAACCTTGCCAACGAACTCTGTAACATCATATTTTCTAAATTTTCAGTAAAATCTTTTCTTGCAAAAGTGATCATTTAAGCAACCTTGCCACTCCTTCACAACATATTGCTGGGAGCTATTAAAAGAGAGGAATGTTCAGTTTATTGAAAAACAAACAACATCTCAATTTTTACGTTATGCATTGTTGTTGCAACGTCACCAAATAATCTGGAATGCCTGGAGACTTGAAAAACAGTTGTCCCTCTTGATTTTTCAACCAAATATGTGAAATATTATTGTTGGCCTGTTAAATGGAGGAACAAAGAATCACAGATTTTTGCATCTTTACAGCATCTTCTGTCCGATCTTTAGTGCCCTTTCAAGAAACAAAGGGATGAAATCATGGTCAGCAACTCCTAGAGTGAAACCCGGTGTGGGACAAGCAGAAAGGCCCTGAATATATGAACTAAAAGTTTGCAACAGCAGAAGAGTCTGCAGAGAGCTTGTAAAAGGCGAATGGCACCATCAAAACAACGGGGTCATTAAACATATTTTCTTAGAGGTAGCAAATGAGTAAATGGGGAAGAGGAAAAGCTTCTGCCAGATCAGCTGTAAACTGGTCTTGGAGACAACCTTCAGTGGGAAGGAAAGTGGAGGTGTCAGGTCTGATGTGGAGGAATTAATCAGATTTTAAACTGGGGAAGAGAGGGAAGAGGAAGAACCTGCTGAGTTAACACTGCACGTACTGAGTTCACACTGAAAGGATTTATGATCTGTCTGTACAATTTTACATGACTCCCAGGATATTTGCTGGGAATGCTTTTGTTTCTACATGCCATAAGGGTATCAATGAGATTAATATTTTCACATCCAAGATGCTAGGTCTCCTGCTAAGAACTAATGTTTGCTCTCTAAGTATCACGCTGGCTTCAGTAAAGTACTTGTAATGTAAATTTGCACTCGGTTTCTGACAAATTACACAACCGCATCTCTTTCACAAGTTAGGTTGCCTGAATCTAAGCTCTTCCTGAGGTACCTGCTCACATTTTCTTAGTTCAGTAAACAAAGACTCATTTTAACAAATTGCTGCATGCATAAGTGGTAAATAGTAGTTTACTCCTGGGACTTTGAGATCTTACTCTGAATGTTTAGAGGACCGGACCAGGACTGAGACTGGTTGACAAAGTCGCCTCAGTGCCACCGTTTCCAATCCATAAAACAAAGACAGAATTATCTTTATTTTACTGTGCACTGTGACTGAAGGCTAAAAAGGAGAGTATAAAAACTTGCTGTTTTATTATTTTCCTCTTACACTGCCCTAAATCAGAACTTTATCGAGGACTGAGGGAGTTTGAACAGCATGAAAACACTAAAAATTGGAGGAGAGAGAAACCTTTGGTTTTGAGCAGAGTGAGCTGGAGAACAGGGCTACTTGTGCACAGGAAATTTTGTCATTTCAAAATGTGGTTTCGGTCTGAATCAGAACAAAACCCCAAGAGTTTCCAAATTCCCCTTGAAATGGAAATTCTGAGAATTTTGGTTTGGAAACGCTGAAGCAGGGTGTTTCTGATACCCACCTCCCGCCCCAGACCTGCAGAGCGAAATCAACTTTCTCGTCAGCTTGCAGCCATGCTGCCACCAGCTTCCCTGAGGAGGTGGGAGGTTTCCTGGGGACACCGACGGTGACATCTCCCCAGGAGCCTCTCTGAGGATCACTGGACTCTCAGCATTGCTCTGGGAGCCTTCGGTGCTGCCGGACTTCTTGGGTGTTGCACGGCTGGGTCCTGGAACCTACCCTGTGCGTGCAGCTGATACATCAGATGGTTGAAGGGGCTGTGTTAGGAAGACGGGGGAAGGTGGAGGCTGTTGGCAGAGCAGAAGACCCAGTGTCATTTCTTGCAAAAGACCCAAACCATTTATACAGCAGAGCTGCCAAAGCCCAAGCCCTGGAGAAGCCCTGTAGCTGTGGACTTCTCCCAGGTGGACCTGCCGACGGTTGGGATGGCACCTCTGGAGTCTCTTGACAGAAAGGGTCATACTTGGTATGGGTATGAATGCCACAGCTTTAAATTTTAAATCTAGCTAGGGAATATCTTCTCTGAATTTCTTCTGCAGAAAGACTGGAGTAGAAAATAATTAGCAAATGAGAGACCTGGAAATCACTGGTGGAGCTGGTGCTTGCTGGAGTCCTGAAGTCTTTGCTCACATGCCTTTATACTCCACAGGTGAGCACATATTTGCCCTGCCACGCTGTTATTCCTATAGAAAAAGTAAAAACGAATATAGAAAATGTGTAGGTAGCTGCAGTGTTAAGGCTGTCACTGAGAGGCGGATCTGTACTGTTTCATTGCCTCCTTGCACTCCCTCTCAACCTTGCCTTGTATCTACTTCTAATATGTCAAAGGCACGGGTCATTTTTGGTCACTGAACAGTACTCATGCATAAGATCCCCACCTGTTATTGTTTTTTATTTGTCACTGCAACCAAAAAAAGTGCTTAAATTCAAACCTAAGAAAGTATTTTGTCTTAGGTTGGCAGGAAATGTTTTTCTCAGGTTTCTCCAGTGATGTATTTACGGGGGTGAGTAGCAGATTCTGCAGGTCTTGATGACTTCTAGGGCTGGGATCTGGCTCACTTATTGGGACGCCTTATAGTAGGTGTTTATAGGTGGGTGTAATTGCACAGGCTGGGCACAAACAAATCGTGTTGCTTGGCTTGCAGCTATCAGTGCAGACGAGGACAGACCTCCCATAGGTTTTGTGTTGTAGCTTGAAGGCCTATGTAGAGGTCTCTAATGCTTCTGGGTGTCTCAGATCATGGCAGATAGATACCCATCTTTTGTCAGCCAGGTCAATCTGTAGGTGTTACTGTGCGAGCTGCTGTCTTTGCTCCCAGTAGAGTCAGTGGAGATCTAGTTGATGCGGTCCATGACGTGTGAAAAACTGTTCAACCTGGGTGGACACGTGCATTTGATAGATGAGTCTCTCTAGACTTCTCATCTCTACTGTGATAGGACCAGCTCACATGGAGACACCCATATGAAGGCAGATATGATGCTGCATTGCAATATGCAGGTGACTCTCACACAGCAGACTTCTGGAAAAGCACATTTTTTCACACTTGGGTTCCTGGCTATGGTATAGGAGTATGTGTGCTTCCACCCCTTGGGGAGAGCTAGGGTTAAGAGAGCTCCAATGTGCTTAGACGGGACAAATCTATTAATTGCTTCCATTATCTGTTTTGGAGACATCATTGCCAGAGATCCTTTTCCCCAAATAATTTTAGTCTTCTCTTGCATTTTAAAGGTTAGGTGTACATATGTGATGTGAGGTACATATGTGATGTGAGCTTTCGCACAGTTCTCTAGAATAAACCTCCCTGGTGACACGTTGTTGAGTTTGTTATGCCTTTTATTAAAATGAGAGGGTAACAGAAAATAAATCTTATATTTTTCAAAGTTTAGATCAATAGCAAGAAGTACAAGCTGCCTTCCAAACATCCAGAACAATTTATTGTTAGAGTTTATTAGTTGCTCCATGCTGAGGAAATCAAAGTCTACAAAATAAAAATACCAACCACCACCACTCATGTAAAACAAGTGAGAGCATCTGCAGAGAAAGCACAACAGCGACGGAGTCCCTTTGGCCACAGCCTCTTCCAGCGGTGGTGGTTTGCTCCCAGGATGGGTCCTGTGGGTTTCCACATGCTCTCTGCATGTTGTGTTGAAGGATCAAGCCTTGGATACAAACATTTCCCCAGTGGCCCAATATGCCCTACCAAGAGGTAAAATACAGCTCAGCTGAGAGTTACAGCTTCCCAATAAAGTACAAATACAGCTCCCATGCTGGAGGTGGCCTGGGTTCAGACTCTCTATGTAGACATTAGTATCTCGGAAAATTAAATCCCATAGTAGTTGTCCAGTCTCTAACCCACTCTTGCTTATAGGTCCCTTATCAGCAGTGTGTCTCCCTTAATTTCCAAGAAAGAAAGACAAAATATGGAGAGAGAGCCCCTGAGGCAAGCTGGCTGGGGAAAGGAGGAAAAATCACTGGAGCAGTAGGAGACTGTCCCGGGTTCAGCTGGGACAGAGTTAATTTTCACACAAATGTGATGGGGCTGCCCCACCCAGCCAGTCAAATGGGATGTTCTATACCGTGTGATGCCGTGCTCAGTGTTTAAGTGGGGAGCTGGCTGAAGGAGAGGCTTTTGCTACTCAGGAGCCAGCTGAGCATCAGGTGGTGAGAACACTGCATATTGTATATGCTTTTATCAGTATTATTGATTGTTGTTTTCTTCTCCCTTTGCCATTCTGTTAAACTGTTGTCATCCCAACCCACGAGTTTTTGCCTTTTTTCCTTTGGATTTTCCTCCCATCCCACTGGGGAGGAGGGAAGGGGTGAGAGAGTAACTGCGTGGTTCTTTTGTTGCAAAGTGAGGAAAAACCACAACAGAGACGTAGAACTCTGCTCTTGTTATCCACATAAAAATGTGCAAGCTAGGAGCAGATGAAATATTAGCCCTGAGCAGGACAAGCCATGCCAGCCTAACTGCAGCACTTAACAGAGGTTTGTTAGCAGTAAGTAACATGTATCGACTGAATGAAGCAGAAGGGCTTAGTACCCCCGCTTGCAGCCTTCAGAGCAGCTGGCAGGTGTGGAAAACTATCATCTATGAAGTAAATACAGATTGCTCATTGCTCCCATACAAAACAACAGCATGTAATAGACCATAACATATCCGTCTTCATAAAGCTACCTAGTACAAATAAGTCCTATTCCAACAGGAATAAAAGAGCTATTGAAAATATAAATATCGAGGCTATGGAGTGAGAATAACTCAACAGGAACACAAACGAGTAAATCAATGACACATGCACTCTATCACAAAACAGAAAACTACACTAAAATCTCATGCCTCCTGAATTACAAGCAAGGGATTCCTCCCATTTTGCTTCTGACATATGCCGTGTAAGCATCTATAGCTAATCTGGGCATCATTTAGAGTCGATGCAGAGAAACAGGTCTCTTTAGACCATGAGTCGGTTGGCCTGTATATATACATATATGTGGCATAAATAAATATGCAGATACACATATATATAGGCGATAGGGTGAGATGAACTGCTTTCTAAAGGGACCTGGTCCTTCCCATTGTCTGCCTCAGATGTGGATGCTTACATTTTGTCAGATAAACCCCATCCTACCAGGCTGAATATGGCTAAAAAGAGGCAGAAAACTATTCAAACTTCACAATTTCCCAATAATATAAGTACATGTCAAGTATTGTGTATGCTTGAGTCGGTCCTCAAATGCCTTTGTGCTGGTTCTCTGGCACTCTGCAGCTACGAAAGGAGCTGTCAAATTAATCAACTGTCACAATCTGCGACATCCTTCTCTGAGCAGGAGGAATAATGTAGTAACTGTAGTGGAAGGGGCTAGTCCAAAATAATTGGGAAGAGGGGGGTGATGACGAATGCATGTGGGAGTCCAGTAAGATTTTCAGGTTATGTGCAGAGGGTAAATGGGTTTAATTTCCTTTTCCAAGAGGAGCAGTGTGAGGAGGAGAAAAGCGTGACTGTGTTTGACCTGTTTGGGTGGGGAAGGGATGGAGTGACATCAGGTGTCCAGCATCTCTCTTTGCGGAGAAGGCAGTGTGTGGGCTGTAATGAGGGTGCCATCATCCTACGTGCTTGGGCGAGCGGTCCATGTGTATGCCTGGTCACTTGGGAGAGGCTGCAGTTATATTAGCAATACATCTGCTATATGGTAGGAGGAGGAGGAGAAGTGTTTCTGGGAAGCAGTTTCAGGCAGAGCTCTTTCCCCGTCTGTCAACGATGGGATGCACTCCCTCCACCTGTACTCTGTAGGTAGAAAGTCACACTGTCTCTGTAAGAATTAAGCTGCATATTTTCTGCCTCCTTCACATGTTGGATTTGAGCCTCCAGGCTTCCTCCTCATTTGCCATTACTGGTCTTGGAGTTGCTGGTGCAATCTGGTTTCTTCTGTAGCAAGGCATTAATTTCATCGTTTTGGATCTGAACACCACAATTCCCTGATAAGTCTCTCTAACAACAGGAAAAAAAGACTTTACTACAACTGGGAAGAAGCAGGTTTTCTATGGCTTCTTCTATATTTACTATGAGAAACCACACAATCCTTTTTGCAGAAGACATCACTTAGGTTCTCAATTACTATTTCATCTGGTATCTGCTATTTCATCTCTTGTTCCACCACAGGGCCAGTGAAATGTAGATCATTCTTGACAATTTTTTGCCTATTATATTCTCAGAAATCCCACAATGGCCCAGGCAATCTGCACCACAGTTGACCATCTTCACTAAAACATGTTACAAAGCATTTTCTACACTTTCTATGGCTTTATCCTATTGTGAACTGGCAAAAAAGCACTGCTGATGTGGTTTCACAAGGTCCTCCTCCTTTTCGAGAAAAATTCCATTCAGCAGAGAACCAGAGCCCATCAGTAATTAGTAAGGAACATGAAGAGAAATGGGGATGAAGGTTAGCAAAGAGAGAGGAGAAAAGGAGAACTCCCGAGTGTCAAATAGGGACATGTAGGAGTAACTAGGCTGGGGAGCCTGTGAACAGGAACAGCCTTTGTGCATCTCGATGTAGTAATAGAAACAGCGAGGAGGCGAGACTAAAATAAGTCTGAAGTACAAAGTTGTCATGACACGACTGAGAAATCAGGGGGATGAAGGAAGAAGAATTACGTGGTCGTGGTGGCAGATGCTCCACCAGACTTCCCACAGGTTATTCAGAGAGAAAAAGACTGATTGCATCATCTATCTGAAACAAATATATTAACCTTAATTTCCCCACTGGATTCATTTTCCACCCGTTATTTCAACTGCCATTCTCAGTTCCACAATGGCTGGGACAAAGCATGCTTGTCTGATATCAGAAGCTCTGATTCCTCCTTTTCTCATGCTAGTATTCAATAGCAGAGACAGAAGCAGACAACCCAAAATCCAGGGTCATTCATTTAGTACCACAGAAGGTATTCAGAAATCTAAACAGTGCTGATCCAGTTGATAGCTCTTCAAAAATTTATTTTTAGATTTCACATTATAAAGATAGCTGTTAAAACAGAAAATCATCACAGTTAGCACCTGGTTTTATCTCTAATTACTGCAATTTCTGCAACTGGGAGAAACAGGCAAGACCTGGGATAGGGGCTTATCCTGCCCATATGCCCAGAGGCAATAGTTCTTCCATATTGCCCCATTGCTTTGCTCCCTGGGGCAACCATAACCCAGCCAGAGAGGAGCTGGGCAACTAGAGAGCAACCACAGCCAAATAACCAGGGGCTACTGATGCTGTAGTCTCTGGCGTAGTTTGCAATATTCCTCCTTCCTTTCCTTTATCTCACTCCATTATTCCTCCTTATCATAATGTGCACTGCAGTTGTCAGCAGACTCCAGCTGGAATCAAGAGCCCTTGTACAAAGTCTTGAGTATATGCACAGTAAGAGACAATTGCTATTTTAGCAGCTAATGGCTGAATGAAAGACGGGGAAGGGGGAGCAGAAAATCTCTTCAGACTGATCTAAATGCATCAGTTTAGCTGTGAGGAAATATTTTATTTGCCAATCTATTTTTTTGCTCCTTTGAATATATCAAAGAATCCCATCATTTAAATATTTACATTTTCCCTGTTTTTTCCAGTTGAAGTTACTCACTGAATTCACAGAAAGTGTCAGAGAAAGAATCTGAAAATTGCTTCATTTACAAACTAGACTTTTGATTGATCTGTTTTCTTTTGTATCCCTTTATGAAAAGCTTAAGTGCTTAAACAGTCTCTGTTTACACTTTTCTTACTGACTTTTCACCCAATACACAGATATAGTCTTGCAGTATATTTATTAGCTCTTATAACAGAGATGGATCTCTTATAACAGAGATGGATCAACAGCAAATTGAAAGGCAAAGTAACGGCTCTGGGGGTTGGGGTGAAGTCTGAGTCCAATTAACAAAATGGCATACCTGTCACTGGCAGTATCACTGATGAGGAAAAGGATGGAGGAGTTGAACCTACAAAGAGAGAGAAATTCTTGATTTTCTATTGATTTGCTCTTCTGGTGAAAAGCATCAAAGCAGTGATGAGGATAGAGTCAGGCTGGGTCTGACAGCTCTCCCTCTGCACAGCAGACTTAATAATTGCCATGTTTGTTTTTTGGCCATCAGTAGATGTTTCCAGCCTGGATATCAACGTAAGTGCTGATCTGATATCTATTAATGGTGGGCATGAAGTGAACTGTATCTTCCAGGGAATGGGATCTAGCTAAGATCTTTATTTCATGTGACTGGGAAGGATGACTTTCAACATGGCAAGCTAGGATTTGGAAACATGGCTTCAAACAGGAATTCTTTTTGCCCAGAAATGTAACCCCAAACTTCCCTGGTGAAAGAAATTCATTGAATTTCTCCCTTATCCTGAACAGGAAGCTCTGAACTCCTTAAATTTTAGGAAAGCAAATTTCATGACTTTCAACATGGCAAGCTAGGATTTGGAAACATGGCTTCAAACAGGAATTCTTTTTGCCCAGAAATGTAACCCCAAACTTCCCTGGTGAAAGAAATTCATTGAATTTCTCCCTTATCCTGAACAGGAAGCTCTGAACTCCTTAAATTTTAGGAAAGCAAATTTCCAGCTCTTCAAGGAGTTAGTCATAATGACATCCTGGGAAACGGTCCTCAGGGACAGGGGAGCAGAACAGAGCTGGCTAATCTACAGTACCCTCAGCAAGACCGCAGATGACACCAAGCTGAGTGGTACAGTTGACACACCAGAAGGATGGGATGCCGTCCAGAGCTGGACAAGCTGGAGAGGTGGGCCTGTGTGAACATCATGAGGTTCAACAAGGCCAAGTGCAAGGTCCTGCACCTGGGTTGGGGCAACCCCTGCTAACAATACAGGCGGGGGGATGAGGGAATTGAGAGCAGCCCTTCTGAGAAGGACTTGGGGGCACTGGTGGAGGAAAAGCTGGACATGAGCCAGAAATGTGCACTTGCAGCCCAGAAGGCCAACTGTCCCCTGGGCTGCATCCCCAGCAGCGTGGGCAGCAGGGCAAGGGAGGGGATTCTGCCCCTCTGCCCCGCTCTGCTGAGACCCCCCCAGGAGTCTTGCGTCCAGCTCTGGAGCCCTCAGCACAGGACAGAGCTGGAGCTGTGGGAGCGGGGCCAGAGGAGGCCCCAGCAATGATGGGCG